GAGATATGTTATGAAGTCAGTACTAGAGTTGGGTGAACTCTACAAGGGTATAGTAGTTTAATGATACACTCTGACTGTTAGTATTGATCTCAGCTATAGTGATACTAGGTTAGCTGTAAAAATGGTATACAGAAGATTCTGTAAGGTTTAGTACAAGGTCAAAGGTTCTTCATATAAGTAAATTGCTTTAAAGACTTAGTAGCCATGGCATATTTTCACTGGCATTGGCTGGAATCATTGGTAAGCAAAGGTAGGTAGGTAAATATGGAAACAGAATAGTTAAATAGAGAACCTACAAGCAGGTTTCAAGTATGGCAGCTAGTATAGAACCTTCAGGTGGACTACTTAAATTAGACAATAACTAAAGTTGTATAAGTGGCTAGTTGTACACTCTTCCTATAGTTGTTCCTTGTAGTTGTAAAGCATCCATTAGCCAAATATACTATTAATAAAATTTTAGGTCACAAGTACTCATCTTAAAATTAAAAAATAAAATAAAATAAATGATTAATAAAAAGGTTTTCTTTTTGAATATAAAAATAATAAAATAATAATAAAACTTATTCTATAACAAAATAAATAACTAATACCAAATTTATATAATTCAAATTACTAGATTATAAGATATTATAATTTAATTAAAAATATTATATATAAATTTAACTATTAATATATACAAATTTGACTATCAATTTTTATAAATACTATCAGTTTATATAAACTTAGTATATAAAATCTAAAAAATTGTTCAAATGATTATTTGTCAATTTAATAAATTTTTGATTTTAGTAATAATAAACTTTTAATTTGAATATAATAATTAATAGTTATTAAATGCAAAGCATTTAATAACTATAGTATTTGGCACATTAATACTGATTAAATAATGATCAGCTAATCATTATTTAATTAGTATCAGATAATAAATATAAAGACATATTTGGTTCAGAAAGCTAAAATTTAATATGCTAGGCTCTGAGCCTTGCAGAGGCCCAGAGTTCAGTATATTAAATTCTAGTTTTCTAGACTAGATATAAAAGTTATTAGTACATAGCAGCCAATAACAGTTTTATTTAGCAGATAACAACAATTAAATGATATAAATAATAATTTAAGCTTTTTTTTTTTTATTTATTATAAAACAAATATGCCAAAAGTAAAAGTATGTATATAAAATTTATTTTTTAATCAAATAAAAATAATAAATATTTTAAATAATTCTTTCTATTATTAGCTGAATAATATATATTACAAACTATTACAAAAAGAAATTCTTGTGACTAAAACTAGTGTTATTCCAGTAAATACTAGAAAAGCTACTAATAAGTAGATTTAAATTTTAAAAAATTGGCACCAAACAATTAGTTGCAACTATAGAATTAAAACAATCAACAAAAAAGATCAATTAGAAACTAAAATAACAGAATTTATATTAGGAATATAGCAAATTAAAAATTCTGCTGAATACTCACCTTTGTCTCTTATTAATTGTATAAACTTATTAATCATCCTAATAGAAACCATCAATTTACATTATTAAATAAAAAAGAATTTTGATTATAATAGTCCACACTAAATGAAAAGTTAAAACAATTAAAAAAATTTGAAACTATTGTAAAGCATCATGACAATTTGATGAATGAAGAAGTACAACAAATATTTCAATATAGTTTGATCTCTATTAATGATCCTCAAGGTTTACAATATTATATTTTTGTATAGTGTTGTTTACTGTTTTAACCTAGAGGTAGAAAACATTATTTGATCAAAATATCTTAGTTTGTTTTTACATCAGATGATAGATTACATATTCTTAAAAGAATGATCAGGGCAGTATTGAAAATGACAATACAGATTTAATAATTTCTGTACTACCTGATTCTGCTGATTTTCAAGATCCAATTTATAGTTTTAAGCTTTATATTTTGAAGTGTTCTAAAGATTATTTAAGTCCTTATTTGCATCTTTGAATTAATAATAAATTTGCATGTAAGTTTTATTAATTATATATTTATATCATAATTATACTTATATTATTATTGTTTAATTTAGATAATCTAGAAGAATCTTGGTATTGTGATCAAAAACTTGGTAAAAAGTTATATTAAACATTTATAAAAACATTTGCAATATTGTCGGTATTGACACTAAAAACTACAGTATTATCAACTATTCAGAACAATTCATCTTTATTACTGCCTTATTTAGACAAGAAGTTTCAATAGTAACAACAATAGCAATTACAGGTCATAAAAGTAAATTTTCTTATCAAGTTTATACAAGACCTTCTGGTAAAGACAAAGAAGATGCATTATCAAGCTTAATTAATAATATTGGGCTATCTTTAAAACAAATTGATATAAGTATTGTGTTATATCTTAATTTATATATATAAATTACAATTAATTTAATTACTAAAATTTTTATACATAAAACCAAAATTATAAAAATTCATCTGTTAATTATAATAATACTCAAAATAATCAAGCAATGCCTTTAGAATCAAAGGTATTTATATTTACATAATTTATAAAAAATAAATAATTTTAAAAAAATTACTTTTTTTTATTTTTAGACTAATTCAAATTTAGCAACATAATTAGCTAATAAAATATTAAATGAATTAGCCAAAAAATGGCAATCTGTAACAAAGCCTTTTCAATTACTACTAAAAAATCATAATCAACTATTAGAATGGCAAAAATCATATAAGTATAATTATCAAACTACTAAAGATCAAGTAAATGAAAATATAATTGTAAAAAATTATTACATTATTGCAGATAATATTACAATTCATTAATACTGTATATATATTATTTAAATAGTATTAGTATATGACTTAAATAATATATAAAATTATATTCACTTAAATATAATAAATATTGCATTTTTTTTTTTTGAATTCTTACTGTCTAGTCACTAATGGGCCGCAGTTGATGGCTATTTTATTAGTTCAATTTTTAAGTTTACGGGACCTTCTATCAGGACCTCGCCTACATTTTACATTTTATTTATACATTTTACAATACTATCTATATACTAATTTTTTGTGTTCCTATTACCCTGGAATTTTACCAGGACTATTCCTAATTAGGGATTCCTTTGTTCTATTATTATCCTCAGCCCCTAATCATTGTGGCCTTCTTATGTCAGGTCTGTCGACATTTAAGGATCTGGGTACCGAAGATCTTCCTATTTTCATAGAGCATCACCTACTGTGGTTAATCAACAATCGTAGTTCTAACTCAGTTTTTCATCCCCCGTTGAACTTGAACTGGCAACCTTGCGATTGGTAACCTGGGAGTGTAACCACTTCACTATCGACCCACAGGTCAAAATATTGCATTTTATATTTACTAGATTAAAAAAAATTTAAAAAGCTCTGATTATATAATTTATTATATTGCAAAATAATAAAAACTGTGAAATAATAAAACTGCCAAATAATAAAAACTGCCAAATAATAATAACTGCTGAATAATAATAACTGCCAAAAAATAAATTTATTGGATAGTCTGATCATATTCATCTACTAGATAATAATTATATATTAATATTTTTTATAAGATGCTTTCTATTTGTACATGAGATATGCAAACATGAATCTGCAAATTTAGTTTAATTGGGTGATGCTTTCTATTTGTATACATGTACAAACATAGTTCTTCAAATTTAGTTTAGAAAATTGCTATTGACATAGCAACACGTGACCTAATGTCCTAATTTTGCTCTATTCTAATGCTATAATGCTAGCCATGCTGTGTCGATAACATTAATGCTGGTTATTGCTATGTCGGGTAGCAATTTCCTTAGTTTAATTAGGCAGTAGTCATGTGGCTATTAAACCTTCTATTTTATATAGTTATTATATACTAAAGCCAATTAAATCAGAAATAAAATCAGTTACATAGTATGACATAAAAATATGGCATATTTAGTTAACAAGTCTATGATATACATTTAACTAGCATATTCCATATTACAGTATTAACATGACTTACTCAATTATACCTTACTTTAACTTTCATTTCATGAATAGCTCATTTAGTCAACATTATACCAAGTGACAATATATACCCTACAACTAATTAACCCTAACCCTATACAACATCAACTAAATGAGCTATCGGTATTAGTAAAATGAGTAGCTTCAGATTTTTGCATAGTGGATAAATATCGTAAGATCACATCACGCCAGTATTATTTTAACACAAATTAATAACTTAAGTGATTTAAACTAGAAAATTACCAATAATTCAAATTATTTGAATTATTAACTTGATCCAAACTTCAAGCCATTCTCAAGTAGTGCTTCTTAATATAAATTTAACTTAAACAGCTTTATTAAACTTACATGATAACATTTAAATCAACAATAATTACTAGTATATAGTATTAACTGATAACTTTAAATAACATATATGATCTTTATGACCTGTCGTAGGTCACAAACTTCTCTATTAGCATTTATATTATAGTTTATATGATGATTAAACCCATTAAAAGGTTACAGTATGATTTTCTGAAACCAACAGCCACTTATTCAACATCACAGAATAACAAAAATATATAGTCGCAACTAATCAAATGCTAACTCTAACCCTATGTGATGTCGGGTAAGTGTTCTGTTGAGGAAATATCTTTCGAGGAATTGAGCGACAACCTAATTAAAATGACCTATTACCAAATATCATGATTATACAGTCAAATTCATATCAAAAAATTGTTGACTGTTATTAGCCAACACTACAAGTATATGAACAACTTTAATCACTATAATTTCTTAGAATTAATGTAAATATTAGTGTGTTTAAACTTCTTCAATAGTAAGTTTAACAAAAAAAAAAAGGGTTTATTTCGATCAACTTTTTAGTCAATTAAGTCATCTGATAAACTCATGAAAATACTTAAGAACAGTTGAGTTGGTAAACAATTCATTAAGAATTGAAGCTTTATTATTAGGCATTAAACATAAACTTTAATTATATCAAGCTATTCTAATGATTACATGTTTTTGCATAATAACCATACTCCTTACATTTTTCACATTTATGACCCTTATTATTATATATAGCTTCATTAATACTTGAACCTATTCCTAAACCTTCGTTAACTACATTCAATGATGTATTAACTTTTAACTGATTCTTACTCTTACTTGAAGTTTCTTCTACTGCTGATTTGAATCTTTTAGGATAGCATCCTTTATGTTTTGTAACAATTGGATTGTTAACATTCATATTCTGTTCTTGACCAACATTTACTTTGTTCTGTGCTTCACAAAAGAAAGTATTAAGAACATCGTATAGTTTATTGCATAGATTAGCTTTAAGTGCAAGGTCAACCACCTTTTTAGATAACCCGAATAACTTTGTATATCTTGCTTTAGTTAGTTTAGTTATTGATTTACAATTTTGTCAAACCGAAATTAGATAATTCAATGTTATTTGTAGTGTAACAATAACTTCAGATATCTCTTGTTGCTCAGATATGGAAATAGATGTTGCAGGCACTTGTTGAAAAAGATCACTTGATGTAATGTTTGGTTCCAAATATCACCAAGTCAGGACAAAAGCTATGTGAAATATAGCTAATGGAGAATACATGCCAACACGAAAAAAGTGTCAGCAAATTAGACCTTTATTAATTAGAAGAAGGCAGATACATAAGTGTGTACTATCATTAAGTAGTACTACATAATTTCCATGCCCAAAAGTCCCTGTATAATGCACATGCCACACTTGAAGAATCATTTAATATAGAACATCTTGTATTAATGATGTAAATAAAATTTGGCATGTATTGCTTTCTTGTTCTCTAACACAAAGTCCAACATTAATATTATCTATATGTTCCTGTCAGAATATCATTATATTAAAAATACAGTAGTATAACCTTAGATTAAAAAAAAAAAAAGACAATACAATACTTACAGTGATTAATTCATTCCATTTTTTGATATATATAGCATCATAACAAATACTCAAATTCATTTGTTCTCTTTGTTTGCCAAGTATAGTAGGCGTAAGAAATTGTTTTAAGGTTTCGTCAACTTTTGGAAAAACTGGTTACTTAACATTGGTAATCCAGTTGTTGAAAGGGCATTACATTGAATTTCGAACTTCATTAATTGTTCTTCTTGACTGATACAATCATTTAGACTAGTTAAAAGATTACACAAAGAAGTTGCACAATCAACTTTCTGATGAACATGCATGTTGATAGACTCAATTCTTTGGGTGCTTTGCATGCCTGCTGTAAATATTTTGCTGATCCAGGAAGTTGATTATGATTCTTTTTTACTGTAAAGAGTGTTCGTTATATAATTTGCAGTGGTTGGATAATTATTTAATAATTTTGCCCATCAGCTCTTGAAAAGATCTTTGCATAAGCTATTATAGCAAATATAAAAATCTGATCGAAAAGCTTCAAACTGAGAACCTAATTTTTGCTTTAAATTTTTTTTAAGATTCAGATCTATATGGAATATATACAGAATATGATTAATAATAAGATATATATTCTTGAGTGCACTTATTATAGCAAGATCGCTATCAGTAAAGATTGTTGTCAGAATGACACCAGTTTCTTCGAATAATTCTTCAAAAGCCTATTGAAATGTATCTAATGTTCATCCTCAATTATACCACAAGCTATGATTCATGTCTTAAAATAATTATCAACTACAGTAATAATAAAGAGCATTAATTGAAACCAATTTGTATTTGTGATAGTATCAATTATTACTACGTCATGGAAATTCTCATACAAAGTTCTTTGGAATGGCGACATCCAGAATAAAGAAACCAATCTTCTAGATACAGGCTCTAAGTGTGGTTTTACAATCTATAATGGGTTTTCTTTTTTCTAGTTTAATAATGTTTGTAGCATTAATAAAGCATCTGAATCTCCTGGATTATTTTTTCGCCTAAAGGCATATATGGCATTATATAAATCACATTTGTACAAGGACTGTTCGGGATAATCATGTCTAAGTAAAGGATAGATTGATTCTGAATTCATTCTTCCCTGAACTATGTATTTTTCAATATCAGATAGCATTTCAGGAGTTAACTTGCGAAACTGAGGGGCAATTTCTTTAATCATAGGAGTAAGTAGATAATTATGGACATTATTAACTGAATTTATTTTTACTGCAGATGTTGATTTGGGAAATGTAACATTCAACTTCTATGGGCATTTTGTTTGCTGAGATACATTATTATGTCTTTTAATTGGATCTGCTGTTGCATTAGAATTGTATGTCCCAGATTTTGCACATATATAATTAGCCTGTCTAACTATTTCCCCATCTTTTTCACTAGTCCTAATCTTGTAATTAAAACCTTCTTGTAGTGCAAACTGATACAACCAGATTTTGAATGACTGCCAGTCTGGAAATGAAAGCCCCAGCTTTATTTCTAAAGATTCATTTGCTAACTTATCATCCTGAAATTTAAAAAAAGAATAAATTATCTCTTTTGACAGTTATAATACAGATTTTGAACATCAATTTCGACACTCTATTAAGAACACACCCATCCCAAATAATAAAAATTAATTAGTAAGTATTTAAAAGTAAATGTGTTCTTGATAGGGGTGTTCGAAATTGATGTCCAAAACCTATTGAAAAAAAAATATTCTTTATCAGATACCTCACATAAGTCAGCTATTTCATTATATACTTCCTCGTTATTTTTCGATGACAAGGTATTTAAAACGTGATTACATGGATCTTGAATATCATAATTATCAACATTACCACTTGGTTCTTGAACATTGTAATTACCAACATCGTCACTTGGTTCTTGAACATCGTAATTACCAACATCGTCACGTGGTTCTTGAACATTGTAATTACCAATATCATTATTATGAAAAAATTAAGCATGAGAAGCATTATAAATGTCTTGACTGAAATCTTGAATATATGAAAAGTGAATGCTGTCAAGGACTTCATAATATTGAATATTTTGAAACTGGTTACATGGTTCTTGAAGGTCATAGAGGTCTTGAAAAAATTGAATATATGAATGATTGTAAGTATCTTGTAGATTATTAGAGCCTTGATTGCCTTAATTATATTTGAAGTTTTCAAGCTCTTAAAGGCTTTTGATGTTGCCGAAATCTTGAAAGTATAGAAGGTTTTGAAGGTTGTAATCAAAATTCAAGAATAGATCATGAAAATTGCCAATGTCTTGAGAATCATCCCGATTGGTAATAGTAGAGTCATTCATTTTAAATTGAGAAAATATTGCATTATAACATAAAAAGTAAAGTACAATGATACAAAGACACAATGGTGCCAAAAAAAAAAAAAAAGGATATGTTCGTTACTAAGAAATTACATCAATCATGAGTTAATTAGCAAAATTATCTATTATGACATGTGATCCGAGTATCAAACACTATGTTATAATTAATATTAAATTTTTCAAGTTGACAGAAGGTCAACAGATTGAAAAGAAGGTAAAGGTGTAAGCCAAGATTCGAGTTCAAACCAGTACTGCTGGCCAATTTGTCCAAATTAGGTATTCAATTAACATCGCATGAGCAAGCACAAGATAAGTACAATAATGTTAATTAATATCCTATTCTAGACAATTAGATAATTACTAATAATGTTCCTGTTAATAGAATAGATATAAGAACAGCTGTTATAATAAATAACGCCTTTCTGGGCACAGGAAGGAAAATTCACATCTGAACCCTCCTACCTTGTGCTGAATCCTGCTATTTTGTGCTATCTTTAAAACTTTATGTCAAAGTCGAACTGCTTTACGCAGTGTGAGAGATTACCAGCTAATATTACACAACACAAAGATGATGATATCTAGCACAATTCCACTTGCTATTTCTGGGAGCTTATTCTGTCTTAGTTTATATATCAATTGCACTGATGTATGCTGCATATTCTCAATAAAATCACTTAATAAAGTTTAATGTCTGGCGTGGTCAGCCAAATGCTTCCAAATTAATAATATATTACATGCATGCAAAATGCTTTTCAATATATATGTGTACCTAGGTATCAAACACTGCATTACATTAAATTTTTATATACATGTGACCCTAAATACCAAACACTCCATGTATATTTAGTTTTTTTCTTTTTATAATTGTATTTTAAATAATACTAAAATATCAATACCTTCAAAATTAAAGATAGAGTCTATATAGATTATTTTATCATATAATTTGCATGTCTGATTAAAATTTTTATAAAAAATTAAAAGATGTTACTAATAAAACTTTTTATAATTATATTTAATTTTTATTAAAATTCTATAATATTTATATTAAAACATGATTTTTATAATAGTATAAAATTAGAGGATGGCGATCCTAGTGTAGTAGTTGGGTTATCATCCTTCAAGTGGCAGGTCTAAGGTTCAAATCCCACCTATGACAAAATTTGGAAATTATATCTGTGATACGGAAACTGTCTCCTGTCGATCGGTTGGCCTTATGTGGCTGTAATCCAGGTATACCAAGTCAGGGTCCTACTGACATTGGGAGCTCAGGGCATCTATGCGAAGTGTAACATTACATAGTACATATACATAGAGGAATGTTAATAACTGGTGTTGCATAAGACTTCGGTGCAAACTCACGATAAGACCACCAGGCATAGAAGACTAAGAAACTGAGAAGATGGAATCCCACTTGGAAATTTCCAAGTAAAGAGATAGCACAAACTTTCGACGGTGCTGTCGGACTGATGGAAGCCCACGAAACACCTTCATAGGAACCAAAGATTAAAACTGGACATCAAGATGTGTAGAGGAGCATATAACCAACCAGACTGCTGGATTCACCAGAGGAAAAGGATACTAAGGTATATCATACTAGGCCATCTGGATTGGTAGTCTGGACTGAGACCAATGGTTCTGAGTTGCAGCTAGTAGGGGATGATAGAGAAGATGTCGGAAAGATAGATACCAGAATTTGGGTGAACTTTACAAGAGTAGAAATAGTGTAATGTAGCAGTTTAAGATTAGCCCTGACTGCAAATGTTAGGTAACTATAGCATGTTACATAAAACTAGGTTAGCTATATGTGGGACACAGAAGGCTCTAGTAATGATGCTTCTAAGGATACACTGCATGAAATAAGGTATGGGGTTCTAAGGATACAAGTAAGCATCTAGATCTTCTCGACTGACTTACGTAACAGAGATGATCTAGTGATACAGTAAGAGTTGCAGTACAGAGGGTTTAAATAGGCAATACCACTAGTTGGATTGCAGGTATGGCAGCTAGTATAGAACCATTGGCAGACTACTTAATTAGACACCAAAAGTGTACATGTGACTAGTTGTACTCTTTAATATAAGATAACTCCTTTGAGGCCTTGGCTGGGAGTCTCTATATCCTGACTATACTGAATAAAAAGCCCTAGCTCCAAAAGAAGCTAGTTTAACACTAAAAAAAAAAATAATAATAGTATAAAATTTAATAATCAAAATATTAAAAATAAATATACTTATATATATTGTAAAGTTTTTTGTAATGATCTCAAATTCTCTGTAGTAATAAAAAATCAGTATTTTTTTTTTTTTTTTTTTACAGTTAAAGTTTCTGCTTATAGAGATCGATGTTTTTATTTATATATTTGGATATGAGTGCCTCCAAGAGCTCCCTTATATTAGAGGTTACAACTAGCTACACATGCACTTTTGGTACCTAATTTAAATAGTTTACCTATACATTACTATACAGGTTCTATACTAGGTGTTATACCTGTAAGCCAACTTCAGGTCTTGTCTATTTAAACTCTCTATATATGTAGTTCATCATGTTTTACAGTGACATCTTTAAGGCTACACCTATCCAAAGTACCTGATGCCTTCGAGACTTCTTAGAACTAGTTTATCTTTGATAGGAAACTTACTAGAATCTTTTATGTCCTATACATAGCTAACTTAGTTTTATGTAACTCACTATAGTTGCCTAATACTTGCAGTCACAGGAGTTATTTGTTTAACCACTATGTTATATTATTTCTATTCTTGTAAAGTTTACTAGAATTCTAGTATCTATCATTGTAACATCTTCTTCATCATCTCTTATTAACTTCTACTCAGGACCAATAAGACTTCTCTAACTTTCAATTCAGATGGCCTGGTATAGTATACTTATGTATACTTTTTTTTTTAATGATTCTGACAGCCTGGTTGGTCATATGCTTCTCTATACATTTTGTTATTTAGTTTATCCACTATTCCTTTGGAAGTGTTTTATGAACTTTCATCAGTCTGACTGTACTGTCAAAAGTCTATGCTATCTCTTTATTTAAAAATTTTCAAGTAAGTTTCTGACTCTTCAGTTTCTTAATTTATTGTGCCCAGTAATCTTATTATGAGTTTGCATTGAAGCCTTATGTAATACTAGTTATACATTTCTCTATATATATGTAATATTACACTTCACATAGATGCCCTAAGCTTCTATTTGAAATAGTGTGATTTAAGATTACAAATACACCAATCCAACTGATTGTCAAGAGACAGTTTGCTATAACACAGATATAATTTTTTAAATTTCATCATAGATGAGATTTGAATACTAGCCTATGTCACTTGGGAGATGACAACCTAACTACTACACTATGATCACAATCCTCTCCAAAATTAGTAATTTTGATTAGTTTATATTACATAATTATCATATAACAAAAATAATATCTAATCTTTAAATATATATTTCTTACTAAATATTTAACTAATTTTAATAATTTTACTATTATTAGAATTAGAAAAACCCATTCTACAAACTTTACTTAAGAATCTAAAATAATTAACTTAATAAAATTTTTTAAAATATTAAAAATAAAAAAATTTTATTATTAAGATTATATGAAAAATGATCTACATTGAACTCTACCTTTAAGTTTTTACTTAAATGTATGTTTAGTATGTTTAGTATGTTGTTCTTACCAACCAACAATTCTTAACAAAACAAATTTCAAATTTAAGACAAACTTTTACAATAAATATATTATATAAATAGCCACTAATAAAAAAAAAATCAAAATAAGCAAGAATTGATTACTAGTTTAAAAAAAATATATACTGTAACACAAGTTATTATTTTAAACAACCAAAATTTATTAATCTTTGTCAAAACCGTGCTAAGAATTAGAATCAATGAAACTATAATAATATTTTATTTATAATGATTATTACAAAATATAAGCCAAAAAGAAAACTAGCAAGGATTAGATAAGAGTACTAAAACAATGCATTTGACAACTAAAGAACCTTTAGCTTATTCATCTATTATAAATATTATAAAGACGCCTGTCTTGTCTGAAATGACCGCAGTTAAATGAGTTAAATGTAAAATATAAGTGCTGTACATGAAAAACCTTTAAGTATCACATTAAATATAAATTAGTGCCGCCAAGGAAAAACTTGTCATCGGGTTTTCAATCATATTTTGTATCGGATACAATCTTTAACAACTATATTGATTGCAAAAAATATAATTGAAAGCCCGATGACAGATTTTCCCTTGATGACACTCAAACTGCAATATTAGATCAACACTTATCGTAAAGTTCGATACTTACAAGTTTTTCCTGTCATTTACATAATCGATCATTACCGAAATCAAAAACTTATCGAATCGGCCAAACAATCATTTGGGCAATTTTTTTACCAGATGTTCCAAAAACAAAGAAAATAGCTGTAAGCCCGGCCGTAATTATAAAAATTTTTTTTTCAAGCCCATAAATATTTGTGTGCCGGGCAAGGCCAGTCTTTGGGACCCAATGCAGGCTTCTAGCCAGTAGTGAAACAAAAATCCAGGTTAGTTAATATATAGAATACTAAAAGCTTTAATAAATTTAGATTATAGATTAGAATAAGTAGGCAACAATGATTTAGGATTATCCTAACTGTGAGTGTTGGTCTTGATTATAGCATAGGCTACCAATAGCGCTTAATTATAAGCTAGTAAACTCAATTAAATAGTATAAAGTATAAAAAATATGTTGTAATACATTGTAAGTACTAATTAATAGAGTTATAAAACAAAACCTCATCTTAATATCAAAAAAAATAATAACATTTTGATAAATGTTTAAATTTATTAAAACATTAGGTTAACTAGAAATCCAGGTTCTCTAGTAGGTTAAGGAAGTTTAGTACATTAATTGCTAAAAAACTTTGATATAAGTTTGGGAAGCTTTGTTGCTACAAAAACATAATATTGGATTAATAAAGATCAAATATTTTAACCTGTCATCTTTTTATTACCTATTTTAACTGTTATGAGTAAAGGTGTATTCATAATGAGTAGGCAGCGTTAATGATATAATAATACGACAGGGTGAAACCTGAGTTGCGAAATAATGAAATCTGGCTATGATCATCACCCTGTCCTATAATAATTATATGAAGTGATCTTATTGACCAATATTTGTCGATCATCACGTGTCCGCATTTTTTACTGGGTAGATCCTCATTTTTGCCATGGCTAGAATACTTATCTGGAAATTTCAAAACAAACAAGTTCGAAGAAAAATCAAAAAAACCTCTCATTGTACTCCAACAAAAAGTTTTCCTTGAGCGAATTTGCCATATATTTTTCTCATTACTAACCCTCATGTAAACACTATCATATATAAGTAGACTTTAAGGTATTTTGAAGATGTATCTCCAGTGAGAGATGCCTATAATTTCCTTTTTTTTATTAAAATATCTAAAACATGTCCAGTAACAACACTGGCTGCAGCTTTTTAAAACTTTTAGACTAAATTAAAATACCAACTTTAATCAAAAATTGAACACATAACCAAACCTTAAAACGATTGTATTTTTTTTAAAATTGGAAAGATTGCAAAAATAGATTTATAATTTTATAAACTAATTCAATAATGATTAAACTTTATATTAAGATGTGAATTTTGGATTTTGAATAAGCTAATTGATATTTATTTAGGTGGGTCGACAAAGGCATTTTTTGAAGCCGAGTTATAAGCTTTAATATAATATAATTGAACTGGAAAAAATGTTACCTTAATCTATACTGTATAAAAAGAATAAATTTAATAGATTTATATGGAGGTTTCAATTAATTGAAAATACGATTTTATTAATTGAATAGTTAAATATAGTAAATTTAAATACGCGGAGGATTGCATATTACCCGTGAACATGAGAAAAAAAAATTTTTTTATCGTTGTGCATAAACTGTATAATAATTTTATATGCAAAGTATACAGTATTTATAAAATGTTATATACCATATTGTAACAGTCAATAAACAAAATTACAGTATAAATTTAATGAAAACCTTGTATATAGATATTATTTGTCACAGTTTTCAAATTAGTGTGATAATTAAATTTTGAGGGATCTTGTAGTTGTTGAACACAACATTGCGGCTTACAGAATCAATGAACAAAATCGTCAATATTCAGGATATAAATGCAATATCTGACACACATAATAAATTTATAATTTATTATCGACAAGAGTGATAATTTAAATAAGTTTTCAGCATTTTTTTACAACTTAGGCAAATTTTACAGGTTCGTTGGATTTGGTTGTCCTGTACATTCGAGAACAGATCAGGCAGCATGATGGATAGGCATTCGACCTGATTGGTAAGATAGATGCCGTGGATTGTTGAATACATTTTATTATTAATTGGTGGTTTGCATTTAAAAATGGATAATTAGCTAAAAAATGTAAACTCTAAATAAATATTGAGTTAATGTTTTTAATAGTATACAATTACACGATGTAACTAACAGCAAGAATTTAACTTAAACAGATGATCATGCCACACTATTCACGTGATCAATTTTATTATACCGAGACAATTTCACTGTGTTCTGCATGCAAGACAATAAAACCAAAACATTTGATCTTTTATAAATATATATATTTATATTTATATTTATATTTACATATATATATTACACATAAAAAAAAACAGCTTCCCACATGGATTTTAAAGTTGTACGTTACAATAATTGAAATTAAGAATTTGACGGTCTAAGAATTCAATGAATTTTAACATATCAATTTTGTATTACGGTATGACAAGTTAATATCAAAACAATAAAGATTTGTTCTATTCGTTTAAGTTTAAATACAAAATAGCATTTGAGAATGTATATTAATGTTCTTTGATATGCGTATTGCAGGGGGTTCTAAGTTACAGTCAAACGTCTGTGTTCATTCAGAAAGGGCGTGCATTTATAAGGGCATGTATGCATGCTATTTAGCAGGGAATGTACGTAATTAAGGTGAATGCATTGGTGAGTTTGATTATAAAAAGACTAATTAAATTTACCCTAGTTTAGTATATAACGAATAAATTTATTAAATGCACCTTATTATAACAGCTTATATAGTTTATGTAGTAATGATAATTGTTACAATATTTATATATATACATATTAAAATATATACATATTACATATTAAAAATATATTTATATAATATATATATTCCTGTATACAATTAAATAATCACGAGATACTGGATTAAATAAAACCTTTTGCTACTAATGATAGGTATTTATGGCAATAAATATTTTTTGTCTTATTCACAATATATTACATGGACCTACAATAGTTCGGGTACGTACGTAACTGAGTATCTCGGTATTTAAAATTTAATGTATATCAAATATAAGAGCCGGCAAATAAAAAACTTTATAGATAAGAGTTTTAGGTTTCATTTTCATAGAAGTGTTGATACGTACAAGATCCAACACCTGTAAAAGCATTGTTACACCAAAATGATTAAAAAACTTGAAATCGGGCATATCAATTCCTTTATAAGAACAAATGAGATTTTCGGATCTACCGGCCGATTACACAAATTTTCATTGGCTCGAATGATCATATATGGAACGTTTAATCATAAAAGTGTCTTAAGAATATTTTGCACAATGAATACAATGAATAAATACTTGCCTCAAAACGAGTAAGAGTACACAAAAATTTAATTCCAAGAAGGCATCTCCGAACTCCGATTGTGAACGAACTTTATTTATTTATAGTGAATAAGCTGCAGCATGTTAAGCATTTAAAAGTTTTATCAACTAATCAGGATATGTATATATATATGCGTATAAACTATCTTTATTATATTCTTATAAATGGATGACAATAAATCTTCGGCTAATCTCATGTAGAGACAGAATGTGTTACTTGAAATTACTTAGTATCTATAATGAAATACTGTATTGAAACGTATAACAGAAAATTTAATGGTAAAGATCATACAAACATATAACACGCGTCATTTTAAACGGAGTTCATGATCCTTGTTCAAATTAATTATCACTAGTAGACCAAACTATCCAACCATTTATGGTCATATTAATATGATATCACAGGATGGTAGGACAGTAAAGAAATAAAAAAAGCCTTTCAGCTTATCTTAAATAATAAAAATCATGATACAAATCATGATAAAGATTATGATAAAGATTTATGATAACGATCATGATAATAATAATATCACCATTATAAATAAGTGAAGGAAAATTTGTCACATATATATTATATAGTTGTTTCACCGAGTCTTTTACATTGGTTTTTTAACCTCGCGTCCCCATGCGGCGTAAAATTTGGGACACAAAGTATTAACTGCAGGTCTGTTTTTTTTCACGCGGTTAAAGGTAATTCCTTGTCACAATATTTTTATTATTAATTGTTACAAACTTGAAAATAGTTAATTGGTTCTGGAATATTGTAAATAAATACTTAGAAAACCTTGTTTAGCATTTAAGTGATAAGTGAAAGAAGGTCTTGATCACATTTCACATCATCGACCATGACAATAATATCATGATTACGCAATGTAAATTAACAACAATAATAATAAAAAACTAATAAAGATAAGTTACTAAATATGTCTTTATAGCTACTCCTAATTTTTATCAATAGTAAAATAAAATATCAATTGAAATTTTAATGTAATTTCACGTGATTGCGTGAGTTAACGATAAAATATGATCTTTGTTTCCAAGAAATATCATCACGTGATACGTTATACAATAAAGAATAATTTAACAATTATTTTTGTCTGTTTATTATTTTCCCATGTACATACATTTAAATTAACGTTAATTCTAAACGTAAAATGTTTACATTCGGTTTGAAATGGAAATATGCCTTTCGACAGCTAATCCAGATCACTCACGTGATTCGGCGCTTTTTGTATGTTAAGTACTAACTGTTCTTCAGGAACTCCTTATTGTATTCGGTTGATAATTTGAATTCACTGGAGTAATGGTAAATACGTGTAACGATATCATATACTATATATTGTTTTCTAAGTCTTTAAAGGCTTTTACATTTTCATTAAGTGTGACAGCTTATGCTGAAATTTTGACCTATTTTATTAAATTTTTTTTCATATTTAAGTTAGGATTTATTAGGCCGGCTACAATTAAAATATTTTCACATTAAGAACTCCTGAGAGGAGGAGGAAAGGATACAAAAAATAAATCGAGAAAATAAAGGATACAAAAAATAAATCGAGAAAATAAAATAAACAACTTATTTTGAAGTACAAATCTATTATGACAAATTAACTTCCAGTTCAAAGCTGTCAAACTGTAGTCTAGGGATTTTAACTGAGCTACTTCAGTTAATTAGTTAGTTAGCATTAATATTTTTGGACTCAAGTGAAGTGGTAATTTTAAGCGAACGTATTTTATTTCGTGAAGTATAATGACCAATTTCATTGGTCGATGTAGATCATGTGATTTATGGGCGTTTTGATTGGTTGTTAATCTGGGAGAATGATGTTAATCGAAGAATTAACTTAATAAAATAGTATATGTAGATTTTAGGCATATAAGAACCAACATTTCGGCATAAACTACCACAATAAGTACCGTTAGCTTTGATTCTATAATAAGAACAATGGCTGATACTCTTTGTGAAATACTACTCTGATTTATCTGAAACTTCATAAAAATTAACGGATACAGATATCCGCATTAGTCAGATTAAAGATCGAAACACTAGTAAGTGCTGACTAATAATGGTAATGACCGGACCAATTGGCCTTTTTTTACATAGGATTAGTGGTTTTTTTTTCACTGCCACAATATAAAGGAAGACAAATTGGTTCAGATAATAAAAATTCTAGTACTGATACAAAAAAGGGTTTCGGACACTTGGCTTTAAGTTGGTCTAATATGCTTATTGCATATTCATTACCTTTAAACTCATGTTTATATGCAAATATATATAACTTGGTTGATGTTACCATCGTCGGAAGAGTAACGTACGTACATTCCACATTCATTTTTTTGATAGTGAACCTGAGAAGGATGTATGAATATTATTAGCAAGCCAACATATTATAATGAAATATTGTATAAATGATGGTCTGGATTAACGAAAATAAGCATTATCCATTGAGATCGTTCAGACCCATTTCCAACTGTTAAAATAGTAATAATCACAATAAATTTCATTTGTTATCGTTATATTTCTCTCAGTGTATTATTTAATATGATACTTTCTTAGAAATCATTTTAATCTTAATAATTAATATTCTACCCAAGATTATTTTATTTGCGTATATTCATTGCTTTAGAGGTTTTTATATATTTACAATTGACCATCATTGTCAATCGTTATATTTTTTTTATAAAATTATGGGCTTAAATTCACCATGAATCAAAGCCAACCAACTACGTTAATAACAAAATTATAAGAATTTAATGACTTCATTAATAATCTTTGTTAATGTGACTTAACTGATTCGGAATTCCAGAATTTTTCTGTACGCCTTAAATTGATACTGGTCTGATGTTGTTTCAGGCACCTGAAGTAGTACTTTCCTGAAATTACTACGTACTTAATGCATGCAAGAAGATCTAATTTAAGGGGATTCAGGTGCCTGAAGTTACAACTCCAGGCATGTGTCCAGGCACAACATATATGTTATCTCAGCATGATAGTCCGATAACAAGCACCACTTTAGATTTATACAATTGACTCCTAAATGTGCTTTATCTAAGTGCAAGTTGTAATAAATATGCCTTAAATTACTCTCCTTGTTATATAAAGATATATACTGTATTTTCTTTCTATAAATACAATATCTTATTACGTTCGTGCAGTTCTTTTGCCACTTTTTTCTTATAGTTCTTATTGGTAGACTCTAAACCTTGTCTTGTATAATTATTTATTCGGCCAATTTACTAGTTTCAAATCCGATTTCCTCTTATAAATGTGACCCGGACGTAAAAACCTCATCAATATCTGGATACTTTTAAAATCGGATATTCAGGTGAATCCGGGTTGACAATAATAAAAAAATAATAATAGTTTATTATACAATTGGCTTAGAGATACGTATCAGGAGTGTTATCTGTTATGTATCATAATACGTAGAATACGGTTATACGCGTTGATCAATAATTTTATTCTCATTAAACCATACAAATGAGGAATGAATTGATCTAGAAATCTCTTAATCTATATGTATTAATAATTACTAATACCCTGATAATCTTTACAGCGCACCCTATCCGTTTTCACCCGGGTTATTGTGTCTTCATCCAGATACCTGAATAAGCCGTGAGTTTGTCTCACCCGGGTCGCATCTCTATTTCCTCTAACAAATAGCAATACCTAATTGTTACTGTATTATATAAAGTGACTCGAATAAATAATTTCGATATCATCTTCACTTTATGCTTCATTCCTGTTATATAGATCGTTGTAAAAGGTCACTTTGTAAATGATTTTCAAGTTTATTACTGTATGCTACCGAGTAGAAGCAAAAAAAAAAAAAAAAGGTGAATTTTTCGAGTCAAAGTAAAGGGGTTGCTTATATTCGGATTCAATTTTACAACTTTAGTCAAATTCTCGATACAAAATCTGGGGCTTGTATTTATTTGGTGGTTGCTTCTAATCAGTAACATATAGCAAATAGTATTTAATATTTACTAGACTCGGTCCTGATCAGGGCATAAATGATACGTAAGTAAATTTAATTACATGTCATATGTGTCGCCATCAGGGTCAAATTTGATAATAAACTTGAAAGTCCGAGTTCTGGTTTTCCTTTGGTGACATTCAGCTATGATCCGTGGAAGAATATTATTCTATGCATCCAAATTAAGTTAAAATTCGGTCATATTTGTCACCAATTTTTTAAAAAAATTTTATACTCCATTGACTAACCTATTTTGACACCTTAATAGACATTATATAATGATACACCCATATATATTACGTAGTAGTCAAAATTATCATGCTCGTGCAACATAAGAGATCATGATAAAGCTTCATACCAGTTACATTTTAATAAAGTTTTTTTTTTAAATATATCATCAATTTTATTATTATGGTTATTAATATTGACTTTTAATAAAAGCTGTAGAGAAAATATTTACGATACTAACAGTGCCAAAACTGCCGATAGAAGAAAAATGTCTCGGTACTTCTTCGATGAGACAAAAAATAAGTGATTGTGTTTGAATTGCAACTATGACTACCCCGGTAGGCGTATCAGAGTTACAACATTTACAGTATTAGTCTAAGCAATTTAAGTAAATTATTCAAGTTTGTAATGTGTACGTACTATTTATTGGCGTTATGACATTTTTAATCTAAGCATTTAAAATAAGCTATATTCATGAATATTACAGGTTCACCCTTAACGCACATGAGCATACCCGAAATAACGCACAGGTGATATTATTTCGCGCTTGTACGATACGCTATTTTTTTTTGTTTTAAATTTCATGTTACACCTGATCTTGAAATTTAATTGGTTGCGTAGAATTTTTGTCAAACATTGAGTGAATTGTTTAACTGTTTAATTTGGCCGGCATTAAAATAATTATTAAAATAATTCCGGCCCATGACCAACATAATTCTGCCCGAAACTATGGAGCAATGTTTAAACGGTTAAACGGTTCCAATCCCTACTCAGCTCTAAACGAATTGAGAGAATTTTTAGGAACTCTTAATAAAATTCAAGACTTGTGTCGATTCGACCCTCCTCAAGTCGCGACCATCCAAAGTATAAATATATAAATAACATATAACACGTCACATAGACATTATAATGAATTTATATGATTTTCCCGGCACTAATTTCATCGACACCTCATTTTCCCGACAGTATTTTTTACCCGACAATATTATTTCACCGACAGTGCTTTTTTCTCGACAATTATTTTACCGAATATTCTCAATGATAGTTATTTCCTCGATAGCTATTACTTCAAAAGCAATTATAATATATAATACTAATAATACTTACCCTTACCCTAACATAGACTCTAACATAACTCGGAAAAGTGACATTCGGTAAAATAATTGCTGAAAAGAAAGCACTGTCAGTGAAATGATCTGTCAGGTAAATATTTTGTCAGAGAAATGGTTGTCTGGAAAATAATAATGTCGGTGAAACGAGTGTCAAGAAATTGTCGTCGGTAAAATTAGTTCCACCACATTATAATAGGCAGAGATCCCACTACCAAATCGCAAATATTTATCACGATAACGTTAATTATTCAATTTTATTCAATATCACTATCTCTATGAATTGAGATCACGTCTAATCATGTGAAATTAACCAATCAAAACTTGTATTCAACACATCTTTTCCTTCATTAATTCCATTTTATTCCATTAACCGGCAACAGCTTCAAAAAAGGTCCTATCTTTATTCCATTTTATACATTAATGGAAGTAGAATGGCATAAACTAATTTAATCATGCTCCACTTGGGCATAAAATAAAACTTGAGGCATGCATAGACATGCCCAAGTTGCAGTGTTGTACATAGGACAGCTGGGACAAATCTGGGACAAATTTGAGATTTTAAAAAAATCTCAGTAACTCAGGATTTTATTAAGATAACTTTCTTTAGTTCCTAAATAAAAATATTTAAAATTCAATTTTGCACATACTTTATTATTACAGAACGGAATGGAACAGGAAAAGGTCAAAAAAGCTTGGGACCATCAAAATGTACAACGCTGTGCCCAAATATTACAGTACAGGCAAAGCTCAAGAAAACGAATTTCTCTATACAGTAATATTTGAGTCTAGCGAAAATTTTTACATAACAAATATGTGTTTGAAAATGTAAATTTGTCTTCTGATATTTGAAGATTTCTATATATTGAATATATTTAATTATCTTGTGGAATTCGTTATATCGAGCTTTGACTGTATTTATATAGTATTATCTAATTAACTATAATTTGGGTTGTATGGTAATGCCCATATGGGCATATAGATAGAGGTAATATAATAAATTTCAATTTGAATTTTTTTGAAAACCAATTTCAACATTAATCAATTTCGGCAAGGTCACCACTTACACTTTACCCTCGTTATAATAGACCTCGTTAAAACGGATCCCTCATTATAACGGAGTGATTTGAACATTTTAAAAGTTTTATTACTATACTATATAATGCTGTAACGGATATTCATTATAACAGATAGGATTTCCTAGTCCGATCACTCCGTTATAACGAGGGTAGAGAGTATTTATGGGCATATAAAAAAAAACTATGTCCACAGGCATACCCATGGGGGCGTGTCCGTGCCCTTATGCCCCCACTCTAAAGGAAAGGATTCCGTTCTTTTCACTGACAGTCGCTTCACCAACAACTTAATTCACCGATAATTGATTTACAGACAAGCTTATTTTATCGAAAATCAATTTTGACAGTTTTGACAGTTTGTTTTACCGACAAGGTAATTCTGGTCATTGTCAGATTTAGAATTAGGTTGGTGCAATTTTTAAAAAAGCTTGTCGATGAACTAAGCTGTCGGTGAACTAAACTGGCTGTGAAATGAACTTATCTGTGAATTAATTGTAGGTAAAATAAGCTTGTCTGTAAATTAATTGTCGGTGAAGTGATAGATCTAAAGTATTCACTGTCCTTGATAATAGGTAGTGTTGGCAATTGGACATACTGTATAAAATTTTATAAGTCCAAATAAGTTCAAAATTACTGGACATATGTTAAATGCCAAAATTGAATCATAGATATTGAACGTAATATATAAAGGCAACCAACGAAATAGCCATTTAACAAATATATGGTACAATTATCACTTAATAAGCGAAACTAAAATTTTAATATGTACATAAAATAAATCTGTACCAACACAATTTTAATATACAATATATCTATCCTACATAGCTCATCAAATTTTGGATCCTTCAGATAACCACCATTTAACTCCTGTATCTTTTTTTGTATAATCCAATCCTGTACTTAATGCATTAAATAAAGCTTTCTTTATTGCTTGTTTCCCAATCCCGTCTTGCTCGGCCTCTATAAAGTATTTAATTTTTGTCAACAAAGTTTCCAACAAAATAAGATTAACTGACTGAACCTGGTCAATCAATGTTAAAAGTAAATGTCCTCTATTAAGATATGAAGCAATTGTTTGAATTTCGTCATCGTTTTTAACATTTGAAGCTGGTGTTGAAACAGAAATAGGTGTATCTTCGATCCTTTTTATCAATTTATTCAAACATAAAGAAGTTAATTCACTATCTGTACATGACAAAGACTCGATAACAGTAGTGTAGGCAACTCGTAATTGAGACACATGAATGAGTTTTGGGTAACTCTCGAGTAACAGGTTGCAATAGAATAGTGCTAATTCATTTGCCACCCTCTTCATATTGGAGAATAGGCCAAGAATTGCAGAATGTGCAGACTCGAACAAGAGAATGTCAGAATTGTCCTGGAGATATCTATATATAACATAAGTATTGTCGTAATACTATCATGTGCGTAATAAATCATGTAACTTAAAGATGCTTACGGATTAATAAAAGGCAAAACATGATGTTCCACAATGTTATCATCTAACACCTTCATAAGATTTTCTGTAACCAACAGATAGTAAGTTATTCTATTTCTTTGTGTTGGTGTGTTTTTTCCAAACAGTGGTTTGCAGTTCATAAGAACAAATGTTGGTTCTGTCTCATCATCTAAAATTCTATCCAAGACTGAACGAAACACTTTCTTATGTCCAGGAAAACCCTCTAGGCCAAATCGAGATGTTATGAAATATAGATAAGAATACGTATTAATGATCAACATTCTTTCTAAATATGTTTATGGTCGAGAGTCAATTGAGTAAATTAGTTGTTAATATAAGGATAAAAATAAAAATCTTACTAATGATACTAACCTCGCCTTCCATAAATTTTAGGTTGAAGAAATGATCTGTCGATAATATGTATGAATATCATTGTCACAGAAAAAATGCATTGCCTGAAAATTTGCCACAAAAGGGGTGTAGCTTCCTTCGTTTCCTCATCTGCAATATATATATGAACTATACATTAATTGAATAATATAACTAAGTTCTTTTTAATATAACTTACATCGACTGATTTGGTTTTGATGATTATTATTATACCAACCCATCTACACCCAGTTTAACAGAGGTTTAAATGGTCAGCATAGCAAATAATTATCAGTTCCAAACACACAAACTAACCTAAATATTCTCCTCCTTCGATTAAGCTCAAAGGACATAACTCCCAACGCAAAAATAACAGGTGAGAAAAAAAATAAATACTATAAGGAGATACAGAAAAATAAGAATTTGAAGCAATAAATTCACGTCTATAAATTAGATATATACTCTGATAGTAGAATAGAGATGTCCTCTTTTTCAACAACTTGAACTAATTTAGACATCCCTAAAGATATTTTAGATTGTTCTTTAAAAAGCACACCAGAACACATTACATGAAGAGACTTGTATGATGGTGTGGATTTCTATATTATAGGCAAAAAAATTACAATAAATACAAGGAAGATACGGAAGTAAGGAAGCAAATTTGAGAACCAACGAATATTCACCGTCCATTTTCTTGTCAGTTTGCCCTCATCATCACGCATATCATCTATGACACGATTAATGAACGCTCCGCAATTAAATACGCGTGAGCCACCAAATTCAACTTGAAAGACAATTCGTAACACTATTTCCTATAATATTTAAAGTTTATAAACGATCGAAAATTAAAAATCAAATAAAATTATAAAACTTTGTAACCTTTGATTTAAGTTTTGCCATCTGTGAAGGAGGAATTGACGGGAAACATTGCCCACATATATATGTGATTATTTCTTTCCTCGAATCTGAAGTATCAAAAGCAGATTAGTTTACGTGACGAATGAATAATGAATATAATGTAAAAAAATGACGACCTTCTTCACATTGAATTGCTTCAATGAGATCTAATGACTGATCTCCTTTAATAAAATCAATTTGTGCATCAATACTAGCCAAAAGGGCATCCTCGACTTCAGCAATAAGATCACCTATTATGTGCCTTTTACTCTGTGGCTTTATCATTTGATACCCTTTTCTGTATTAATAAAGAAATTATAAGATAATGCCTTCAATGACCAAATATCAACCAAATTGCATTGGTAAAAATTAAAAAATTCGACATGCTTGGTTCGAATGTTTGCCGATTGATGGTCGAATGGTGCCATCCAACATGTGAAGCTTTTAATTTTTATCAGTGAATTGGAGACAGTAAGATCCAAAAAAAAAAAGCCTACAATAATCCACCCAAACAAATGACACCAAGAAATTCTTGTTTAAGAAACACCTGAATCAATCTTCTAACCCATTCTACCTTTTCTTTTTTTCTAACGTCCTTTGACGCGATTTTCATAAAACTAGTATAGTGAAACATATAAAATAACATAAAGCCCGAAGTGAAATCATAATCTTGGCTTGCATTACGTTGTGAAGAAAGAAAGTCGGTAACTAGACGTTCAAGAGAAGCAATACTTGAGGAAAAGTTAAGAAGTAGCTTGACTATGTCTTTATAAGGACCTTTATATTGTGGTGCGATATGTGGCTCAATTAAAGGATTTGTGGTGTTTGTAGTCATTTGAGTTAATGAATAATTTTTCGTATACACGTACTATATCGATATCAATGTATCGATATTACCTAATATCGATTAATTTGATGATCATCTATCTGTTCAGAACTATCAAAAATAGATCAGATAATTCATTCCTATGGTGAGAACTATTTCTCACTCTCAATAACATAGAACCTATATTGCGAATGTGGTAATACCTCTACTTCGAACTAGTTTAGAGGACATGCAAGATGCAAGTATTTGTTTGAGCTTGTAAACGAAATTTTCAGTCTAAGAAAAAAAACTCATTCTATAAAGATATTTTAAACTTGTTTATTACAGAGCGGAACGGCAGAGCTTGGCAGCAAATTTCGAAGGTACCTTGGTGAGGTAAGTAAAGAACAGATAGAAAAAAAACCTGACGCCATGGCACGTAAAGTATGGAGGAAAATTAATGAACTCGCTTATAACGAATGCACCCGCGTCATTTGTAATGACACAAAAAAGACGGATGATGAAATAAAGCTATGCGAGAAGCATTAGACGGTATAAATTTTGTTAATTTAGCATGCCATCTACTTAGTAATCAATTTGGTATAGCCGGGATTCAGGTCGCTATTTATTTAAATGTTTTAGTAAACGATACGGGAAGTTTTCTCATTATTTTCACGTTGATCACGCAGAAATTCCACTATTGCCGAAGTCCTCACGGTGAATAAAACTGTTTGTGCGCTTGTTATTAAATTGGAGGAATATTTTGATAGTAAATAAGAATTTGTTAATGTGAGCATTAGATCAAGCTAGCTCAAACTTGTAACTTATATCAACAAAGCTGATCGACAAGTCCTGACCATAGGGCCTGGGTCAAAATTCTGAAAAACAAATTCCGAAAAACAAAATCTCAATAAAAATTAGCCGGAACTACAGTTAATGCGGGCTAATTTATCGAGATTATGACCTTATCGGGATTTTGTTTATTAAGAATTTGACTCAGACCCGTCAGAATGTGTTATGTTGATTTTTTTTATTTAAATTAAGGGCATTAACTAATAAGAACTTTTTTTCTTAGTCAATACTTTTATTAAACTATTTGAAATCACAATTGCAATTACAGAACATTATTTGGAGTCTTTGCCTTGAAAATGACCCTACGGGACATAGTAATTACTATGTCTCATAAGGTCATTTTCAAGGCAAAGACTCTATTTAATCTCAAAACCTGATATTATTTGGTTATTTTAAGGTTGTTAAAAATCTTATTAAAGTTGATTCTTGAGTTGACTTAGCAAATACTTTTTAACTCAAATTTATTTTTTATATATCTTTTACATATTGATATACTGTTGTATATAAATATGATAAAATATGCATAGTTATGTAAAAAATGCATTAAATTTACAAAAAGCATATAAAATATATAAAATTTCAAAATTACATATTTGCATATTATTTTGTACTTATATAATATGGAAGTGAGTCAGTAGAATGCATCAAATTTTTTCAAGTAAATTTTTTTGAAATTTTAATAATGATAACTTAACAAAAACTTAGTCAAATTTAATAAAAATTATTAATTTTTATTAAGCTTTGTTGATTATTTTGTTTAAAAGTTTTATTAAAAAAAATTTAATGCATTTCTACTAACTTATCATTATATATTTATTTATTTTTTTATTTATTTATTTATATAATATCAAGTAGGAAAATAAGGATACATAAATATATCAATTGAATATAAATGTATAACTAAAATATTATTTCTAAACTACACTATTATTGTTATATACTATGACATCTAGTGTAATATTATCCTTTAGTTTTCTGTTATTAGTTGAGTTAATTGATATGAACTTAACTACAGAGAGGATAAAAAGAAATCCTTAAGAGTAGGAGTGATATAGATCATTTTACTAGTAATTTTATAGCAAATTATATGATATTATATGATTTACATATAAAATATTGATTACATTATATGAATTTCCTATATAAATCTTGTGTAACCTAGAAAACTCATAAGCTGACCTAGGCAAACTTAGTAATATATAAAGTATTTTTTTTTTAAATAAAATAAATTATAAAATTTTATTAAAATAATTA